GTTAAATGTGAGCCAAAATCATCACAATTAAAAGAACCAAAGACTTAAACTACTTCAGTCTGTCTGCACTGAATTTATTTAATACATGAGTTTCACAATTTGAGTTGAATTACTGAAATAAATGAACTTTTCCACGACATTCTAATTTATTGAGATGCACCTGTACATATACATACATACATACATACATACTGTATTTATATACACACACACACACATACATATATATATACACTGAACAAAATTATAAACGCAACACTTTTGTTTTTGCCCCCATTTTTCATGAGCTGAACTCAAAGATCTAAGACTTTTTCTATGTTCACAAAAGGCCTATTTCTCTCAAATATGAACAGCTAAATAGACAGATGTACAGATGATATATGTCAAGGATCTATATAAAGATATATTGACAGATGAATCAGTCAGGGAAGAGTCAGTACCGGTGACTGGAAACATGAGAAGCTGTGGAGGTATGGTGGGATCGTGACGACATTCGGCTGCCCGAGAAATTGCCTGATGTCTCTGTTCCATGTCGTACTACTCGCTCCGTTGCTGGGACATTCTTAGATATATACTGCAATAAAAAGAGTAGCATGAGATTATGTCGTTTTCACACTTGCGTCCTAACCTGAATACATTTGAAGAATTCTTAGTCATCAATGTGAACACCACAGGAAACAGTTTATCACAAATATGTGATCAATTGCAATTTATTCTGAACTGCAATAACATTCAGAAGAAACCACACTGCAGTTCACATAATGTGAACCCTTTTCAGAAATACTAGACATTAAGCCCAAATCTATTGTCTACACCAGGGCCGCTGCTGGCCAAATGGATGCCCTAAGCAGAATAGTATTGTTGTGCCCTTCCCTCAAAAAACAAAAACAAAACACCTACTATAACTGGTCAAAATTGAACTTTAATAAAATATAAAAGTAAATAAATAAATTGTAATTATTTATAAATTACAATTGTAGCTCTAGACAGTTACCTATGACTATGATTTTATTAATACCGTTGTCTGATTGATTTTATAGTCTCAAGCATTCAGAAATCACGCAAAATAAAATTAAGCAGTTTTACTACGATAAAACCATGGTTAATTTTTGGTAAGGGTTGTGATGTCCTAATGTTTTTGTTGAAGAAATGAAAGAGGCTGTAGCATATCTATCGCAAAAATTAAGTAAAAATTAAGTGGATATTTGAATTAAATGTTTGGTCAATATTAAACATGGATTTGATTGTCCTGTAAGTGTAAAAACAGCAATTATCAGGCCTTTGGTGCCCTTTGCAGGCATTTGTAATAATGCAAATTGTTTATTTTGTATTACATTATGTATTTTAACAGTTTTATTCAATGAAACCATATGATTATTATTAATTAATCAATCGTTATTGCCTCATTGTTTTTATATAATACATTTAAAGTCATGAAAACTAGAACATTAAGTCAGATGCGTTGTTGGTGGTGGTGAAATTATCACCGACATTAAAACACGTTACTAATGTCAACAGTCAAAAAAGTTTCACAGGATTATGAACGTAGCTACCTGAAAGTAATGCACGGGCTTCAACTTGGGCTTTTTTATTTTTATTTTCTCTGCGCCGGACTGCGCTGATGTCTTTTCCCTGCCGCAAAATGAGGTGAGAGCGAACGCAGGCGCGGGCGCACATGCTGGAATGGCACGTCACGTGTGCTTATACTGCCTACTGCATTCATCATAAAATGCATTTTTTATAATAATTTTATATATATATATATATTAATGTTTAGATTTTTATTTATATATATATATATATATATATATATATATATATGTATATGTATGTT